AATAATACATTTTATAACTACTATAGTATAGATAAGTTCTATTAAGGACACTACTGAAAAAAACAGTAAATCCAATAACACTACGTACATTAGTGTAAAACATAGACTAAAGATCTTTATAATATAGTATTTTATTTCTTCTTTCACGATCTCTGTTAATATTCTCATCATTACATTACAAATACATACATACAAGAAGACCTTAAATAAGGTCGAATCAAAATGATTATTGTACCCAGGCCTACCGCAGACAATTAAAAATAATTCAAGGAATGTGGCCAAGCACTCCCGACGGTACATTGCTCATAATCAAAGTGTCGCTCTACATATGACATAACAATCACACATATTATCCACTTCATAACTATTCACTCTCGTTAGTTAAGAGAATGAGGGAACTTTATTTGACTCTAAAAATTAAGAGTGCCACGCGGAATAAAAAGGTCAGTAAACTGTAAGGTAGTAAGGTAGGATAAACAAATATAATGTCATATATCGAACAGATTAAATCCATTTAATCATTTCAGATCTGTTAAGTAGTGGTAAACCATTGCGATTATTGTAAAATAAATAGTATCAGCATTTGTATACTGCTCTGTTTTCACTTATATATTCCATTAAACATATTAACAATAATCTTTCAGGTCCACCACCTTATTCGGTGATGGATGGTACTTAAATGCAAGGTGTATTTTAAATAATTATTTTATGAATATTTTTGTTAAGCTTTGTATGCAACTTCGTTACTTTATGGTCAAATAAATATTATTATTATAATAAATCCAATTTATTTCTAGGTAAACATAGTTACGAGAAAATACGAATGATTAAGTACAACACAGATAAAAAAAAACTGATATCACATATATGCATGAATGAGTTCAGAACTCTCAGAAATTCAAATTGCAAAACTAAATCATACGACATTCGAGTTTCCATATTTGTTCTATTTTCATTTCGTGTCATTATTTTTCAGCATCACTTCAATTAGTTACTCGGTCGATCGCTTGATTGTTTAGTTTTCTAAAATTTGCTGTAACTTTTTCAAAAGTGTACGTATATCAGAACAGGGATGATGACTGGGTAAAAAAAATGCAATTCTATTTAGTCCGTCAGTCAGATAATAGAAAATTATTAGATACGTATTTTTTTTTTACTTCAATTTAACAAGAAATAGCTTGGATAACTGGCATTAATGTTGAGGACTGGGGGCTCGCTACGTCACAGTTGAGTAGAAAACGTACCCTAACGTGATGTCATGCGAAATTTCAACTCCATGTAACGGCGTAATTTTATTACTACGAAAAAAAAAACGTGTTTAATATTTTTAGCACTCTACCTAACGGACAAACAAACAAAAATTAGTCATCATCCCTATTCAACCTACCAATATCATCGGATATAACGATTCGTAGTATTGAACTATTAGAATCTACATTTCTGAGAATGTGAACTCATAAGGTTTAGTGTGGCTAGTATGACAAAAAGTCTACGTGAGATAACGACATTATAACATTTAAAAAAAACATAACATCCGTCGTGCAAAACTCATCATAATAAAATCGGAGTTGGCAACGGATGCCGGCGTGCATGAGCATACATACACATATGTATTTGATGTGGCTAGCAATTGAAATATAAAAACGTCTTGAGTGGCTTAACAGACTTGCTTTCTCACAGAGGAGTACCATTAATCTCTGCAAAAGAGGGCCTATTATCCATTTATTCTCGAAATATAAGTGTATCTATCCTTGTTAGTACAAGCAAGTATGTGTTCGAGAATGGTCTCAGTCACAATCATAAAAAGCCATAAAAATAGCCATAACTACACCCTTAAACCTAAATTATTCCATACATTAAAAACAATATTTAAGAGTGGTATTACAGATACGATGCTTGTACCTACTACAATAGTATATTTTGATATATATATTTTTTATGCTAGATAGGCAAGCACAAACAGCAAGCAGATCACCTGATGGTAAGCAATGCAGTGGTCTAAGATGCTTTTTTATATTGAGTCCAAAGAAATACAAACCAATATTATAAATGCATAAGTAATTTTATATCTTTTATACTTCACACAACACATCACATTGTGATTCAGTTTGTTATAATCCGACTAACGTAACGTAATCGTTTGTTATAACTCTTCCAACGGCGGCTTCGCCTTCGTGAATCTATATATTATACATATAACACTTTCTCCTGTCCTGGAGCATTATGTATATAGACGAAAACTGCATTCTTGGCATTGGGTATTATTTGATATTATTTGAGTATTATATCACAGGCTCCAGCGGTCCTCCATTTTATAACAGTATGCGTACAAGTGTTCAACAACTTATATCTTGGAAGTGACTTTAATTAGAATAACAGGCACTGATATAGAAAGATAAAAAATGATAAAAGTAAGAGTGTAGGAAGCACCATAAATAGAGCGTTGGAAAAACTCAATGGTAGAAAAACCTCGAGTCAAGAAGTGCAAATCGAAAATGAAGTAACTTATATACAACGCGAAAGTGAAAGGATATTAGAACACGCAAAAAGCGAAAAAACGCCTTTCAGGATCATATTATTTACGTGATATCAAAAAATAATGTCAGAAATTATAAACACTGACGACCTAGTGAGTGAAGAGTGATATATAGAACCGAGGCTTTGTTAGTTATCAAATATCAAAGGCAAAAAATTTTTTTTAATAAAAAATGTCTTGCCAAGTTTGTACTCTATACACAAGTATAGAGTTCAAATCGGTGATGTTGTGTCTAATATAACTCAAGTATACAGACAGCGAGAAACAACTTTGTTTCATTCTATATATAGATAGATTTGGAGAAGGGCAAGGCTTTTATTTAAAACATCAGAATATATTAATATATTTAAATCAACGCGAACGAAAGTGCAAGGAAAAACAGCGAGGAGAAAAGTTTACTAATATTTTAGTTTTTTACGAATGACATATTAGGTTAGGATAGACACTGAAAACTGAAAATCGTAATAAAGTTTAGAAGCTGTCCTGTTCTGTTCATAATCAAAATATATAAATTCAAAATACGTGAATCGTTCGATGTGTGATTTATTTATAATGTCGAACAGTGAGCAGCGGTATTATAGTGATATTATCGACGTGGTTACGACATTAGAATACCATGTGTCCGCCTACTGATGCACTCAACATTCCACTGGGCATCGCGGGAACGCTACTGACTACATCAGGCAACTAATTCAACGGACACATTAACAAAATGTGTTTGTTGTCCATATATGAACGATCTATATACCCACAAGTCTCGCTAAACCTTCATAAATATTTGACTGCGATTATAAGACGTGATATTGGCAGTAATCATTACATATGCAATAAGTTGCTTAATAATATTCTACGATGGATACTTTGTTCTTTTATAATAGAAATAAAATATCAAAAACTAAAAACTTCAATTATAATATTTTATTATTTTGAGTTAATATAATTTTGCTGAACATTAATTAAGTCGACGTCTGCGCTGTATGATATTTATAAACTGTGGTGAATTATCAAAATTAATAAATAACAAGAATTATATTTTAAATAAATATGTACTGTTTACTGAACTAATGAAAGGAATGGTTTTACTAGCCGTAAACAAGCACTACCAACATCAAATGACAAATCACTGGGTAAATTTGTCTGAAGTCCTAAACAAAGGTCACCCTACAACTGAACCCAGACAAGACGCTCTCATAATTGAGAAATTAGACTCATACTCGCATCTACTAAGCGATAGTAGTTTGACAAATGTTCCCTGCAACTGATATGCGTCATTATTATTTACAAAATGTTAATTCGAGCGATGATGGACTGAACTCGATAAAGCTCAATTGGTACTTATGAGCATAAGTCAATCATACTATTAGGAAACGCATTAATATCAATTAAGAATCAGAACGCTTACATCATTGATCACTAAGTTTATTATTGTACCACAAACATTGAATAACATTGTCTACCCCATGGTAGACTCCAAATACATTGACAGATACACAACGTATTCAGGCGATTGCATTTTAAATAAGTATCTAGGCACAACTTAAATAATCTGTCATATGGTGAAAAATTTTATAATTTCTGATTCATTGCAGTAAGTACCAATAAGTACCTAAGTACCTAAGATACACATAGATATATATAAATATTAAAACAACAATTTATTAGAGTATGCACATATAAACAAATAAAAGTTATGTTTACATGTTTTATATGTGAATGGAATAAATAATATATACAAATTAACTGTTTTTTTTTTTAATATAGAACTGATTGACTTTTGTAATGTAATAAAAGGCATATAGTTACAAAACTTATACCATTATATTAACGATAATTGGATAACCAGTGTCCACACACTCATAGTCGCCTCGAACTCATGCCAGTCAACCATGGACTGGATTTAACTATATGACTAATTAAACTCCTCAAGAAATAATTCTCAGTTTATTCCATTGTAACGAATGATATTCCACTGACCGTTTGAACACGAAGTGGCTCGGTTTGCTAGCTGTGACGTAGATAAGCGTTTAAGCAGTGATAACATGACGTCACTACATCTTAAGTCTATAAATATTTTGATGATGTTATACACTTCAACTAAACCTATATAACGAGAACCTATAAATTCATCATAATTACAAGTATTTTTAGTATTTCAATTATGTAATTTGCTGTTACACCGTAGTCGATATTTAGCTTCTAATTTAATTTACGTAAATATATTACGACTATACGGCGAAAAATAAGTTCCTGTACGACTTTCAAGAACCTAAGCAGACTTGGCGTTCATTCGCTCCTAATATAATAGTGTACATCGAAACACCAAATGAGCTTGAAATACTGATGTGGTTATTACGGTATTGAAGGTACTAGCCGTGAAACAGTCCGAAATGAATCGGTCGAGCTAACAACCAATAAAAGTTATGTCAGAATCTTATCCTAAGTTGAAGTTGTAGTGACTTATAATTTAGTACTCACTAAGGTCGCAGCCCCCTTCGTCAGATTCGTCATCGCAATCTGCCACGCCGTCGCAGCGAGCGTTGAAGCTAACGCAACGTGTTTCATCACAGGAGAATTCGCCGGGGGGACAGGCTAACACAGACAAAAGAGTACTATTGTAGAAACACCATATTGTACATTTAATAGAATAACTTGAATGAACTCAGAAGCTCTTTTGGTTGGACAGAAATGAAAAAAAGGAATTAAATGTGATTTGACACCCGTTCAAGAGGTGATTTTGTTTTCTTTTTTAATTTAACCTTTACGCTGCCGATTTCATTCTTCATGTCCCATTTTCAAGCAATTGTAAGAATTTCTGAGCAGTGTATCCATATTTATCAGCTAATATTCGCACTGAAATAATTTACCGAAGACTTTTTGTAATATCAACATATAATTTAGTTTAAAATTAAAAGAGCTATTATAATGAACAAATATCTGTATTCAGACAAACAACTTGAACTCTAAATATGAAAATTGTACAAATATAGCTTATAAGGACGGCTATAAAAGTTGTTTTGTCTTTAATAATAAGCGGTTATTTTATCTATAATGTAATGTAAATATAATAAAATTATTGAGGCATTTGATAAGTCGCGAGAGCTCTAATACCAAATAATATGTACAAAAAAACGAGAATATTAAAAGTTCTATATATAGGTACATAAAAATATATTAGTAAGTGATGAAATATAAAGAAAATTGTACCTAGTAGTAGAAGTAAAGTCAAATTTCCAGAAAAAATCGAAATGTTCTGACAAATGGACATTTTGCATTTTTTGACTCATTTCGCTGTGTCATTCGAAAATTAAGCAACTTTTGCACGGCCATAGGATATTTTACTAAACATTTATGATCTCGGGCTTCTCCGTGCTTCGTACACGTTAAATTATTAGTCCTGCCTGCATCTGCAGTCGTTAACGCTCACCAATCAACCGAACTTTGTCCTAATGCTCCGTTTTCTCTATTTTATTTCTGTGATCTGTGAAGGTCTGTGTTCCCGCAGTGGGGGGCATTAATGGTTCATGACAAATACTTATTACTCTATTCTTCTTCTATAAAGTATTTATTTTACCGTATTTAAAATTAATATTGGCAACTGCTCACTATTGAGGACAGCGAGTAAGAAGGAGATCGGCTTATCATCACCGAACCGAACTCATGGGTTATTTAACTTTATTGCATATTCTTTGCTCCTAATAGTTGCAGCGTGATGTTATATAGCCTAAAGCCTTCCTCGATAAATGGCCTATTCAACACAAAAAGATTTTTTCAATTCGAACTATTAGTTCCTGAGATTAGCGCGTTCAAACAAACAAACAAACTCTTCAGCTTTATAGTAGTAGTATAGATATATTACCTAAAACTCTACCCGTTGATTTTGAGATAATATTACGTGTAAATTTAATAAATATATGTATGTTTAAGACTCTAAAATATATTAAATTGAAATAAATGATAATTAATCATAATATTTTAAAATATTTTCGTCATTCCAAATATGCTATGAAATTAGGAATTGTTGAAAAATTCACTATAAGCAGTATTTGGTCTACAGTCTATTCTATGTACATGTAGATATTATTTCGTCTACTATGATGTAAGTGCAGATGCAAGAACTGCTAAACACCGACAATTTAAAAAGTTTTGCAAATATGATTATTTAGGTACCACATGTTTTTTAATTTAAAATTTTGATATTTATTCAAGGCTGGTCCTTCCTCTTTGAAAAATCATTATTGTCCTAACCGTCTCGTCTCTCACGAATAATTTCTCATGGAATAAGTTAATCCATCTCTGTTTGTCAACATATGTCCATTAATAAAAAGAAACCATGTTTAGGCTAATATCACATTTAAATATAACACACATGCGATGTTTTGTTTATGGAGAGAAAAAAAAAAATGTGGAAAGTAAAATAAAACAAATAAGTATAGTTTGTTAAAGTTGGAATCGGTTATAATACTTATGAAAATATTCATCAAATATTAGTAGCAACTTCTATAGTATCCAATGTGCTGGAAAGAGGAGACGCTTGATCAGCATCAGTTGGGCATCCATGTAAAGCTTCATGAAACTCATGCAATTTATCCACTTCTTGAATAAATTGCCTATTTGACTACACTGCCAGAAAAACCCCGGTTTATGTATGCTTTTTCCGTGATTTATCTAAGGATTTTTATTTTTATTTGGAACAGTTTCAAATTCTTTAATTACTTTATGATGATACCAATTTGCCTCTTGAATATGTGTCCATTCTAAAATACTGGCATGTATATAAAAAAACGTAAAATGGTCAGGACAACTAATTAGTAGGTAAAAGATGCAATGGAGGGAACAAACTGACCATCATCTCAACAGTGCCGCGGTTGGCTGTTCTATGGAGAATTCTTTACATTTGTCAATAACATTAGACACACTGACTATATGGACCCATCTATCAGTGCACTCAATTAACTTATTGGAAGCTGTGAGCCATTTATGGAGTCTCACCTCCTAGGTACAATACAACTAAAATTATTTATTACTTTTAAATGTATTGACAAGACGTATAAAATTCGTTTCATAAAGTTAAATAATGTTCCTCATGGACAAGTCAATAACAATTAAATAGATGCCTGGGCCACTGGAATACCGAGTCGCTCAAAGATTATTTAGATATAGAACGGGATCGTAGGGCACTGTGTGTTAGGGCGAACATGATTTCTCGAAAGTTTACACATTGTACCTAACAAGTTACATTTCAAAACTCTTTTTAAAAACTTTTTCGTCTACACGTGTAGCTGTCGATCAAGGACCGTACAGAGCCCTGCGTACCCAACATGCTTTCAGCGGACTGTTGAGGCCTCCTCTTTACTGCAAATAACACCAACAGAAGCCCGGGTTGACAGAGTTTCAATTGTTATAAGAAAACGTGTCGCGTCCTTGATACGTCGGGTTTGAGGTAGCTCCAACAGTATCCTGCTGACGGTCACAGCGAGACTAGACGTGAATAATTTAATAATAAAATAACATAGATTTTTAGTTAATGATGATGAAATAAATGGGTGATTCCTGGAAAACGTAATTTTATTATGTGTTGCGGCATATTATTAGCTATATTACTCACATGTTAACATTAAAATAACTTTTAGATTTATAGATAGAGGAATCAATATTCTATGGAGGCTTTCATATAACGATAGGTGTCATTGCTAATTAGATTTAAATAAATCACAATTAATATCTAAAAACCGGTCAATATTTTGATATTTAAGAAGAAATGATAATAAGATTTTATGCGTCATAAAAAACAAATAAATATTTTTTTATTTTATTTGAACATCGGGCTTGCGTTTACAAATTTGAAAAATATTTTATTTATTTTTAAGATGCATGTATTCTCATTTATTACAAAACATATTAATGCAATATATGTACTATTATGCGTATCAAAAAACAGATTTTTGTATAATAACCCTACTAGATTATGTTGTGACTTTTATGTTCTACTTAAATAGCCTTATATAATTCAATTAATTATTTAGGCCTAATTTTTAACGCATACCTACTGTTCAATTGTTTGTTTATTTTTGACATAAAGATTTAATTAATATTAAATCTTATGTAATATTTAATATTAATTAAATGAAAATTATCTCATCCACCACGTAAGTAAAAAAGAATCAAGTTTGCCTGTTTGTATTAGCCAATCTTCGGAACTCTTAAATGGATTGCGCGACATATATACTATCATTAGTTTGGAAAAAAATTACGGCATGAAGAGACAAAAGAACAGCGCAACGAACTCTTGAATTCTGGTCGATTTCGATATTTTGTTGAGAGAGTAAAAGCTTCCGTGTTGACTTGAGAACCGCCTGTTTTTCTAATGATCAACTTTTTTCTGATTACTTTCTGGAGGGTTAGTAACCCTTTCGGTTTTTGCATTTTAGCACCCGAGGAAAGAACAATGGTCAAAATGGACTACGAAAAAAAAATCTTGTACCAAGATGAAACTATCACCAAAATGTAGTATAAGTTGAATGTAATTATTATATACCAACAATTTATTTTTAAAAGCTGGGAAAAGAAAGATAATCCTCTCTAAAATATGTCTTTATTTTTTAGAACGCAGTTTAAATTATGTTATTTTTGAACGCATCTTATTAATAATGTCATTCCTAGAGAAGTCCCTCTCTTTTCAAAGAACAAGATCGATTTTATGTCTGACTAATCGACTTTGATACAAATCTTTTATTATTGCCTAACCATATAAATCCGTGAAAATTATAGAACTTAGATTAGATTACTAATATAATTAGATGTTACTTAGTTAGAGGTAAATAATTTATTATTTTTAATTTTATTATTTAAAAGAATCGATATTACAGTATTTAATCGATTGTGACCTCCCTTTTTTAGACAAGTATGTGTAGACGTGTTTCTACGCAGACCGTTTTGTAACTTTGGCGGTGATTTTGTATTACCATCTTCTGTATTATGGGGAGCATTCTAGGTACCATGGGCAGTATAGAATTGAGGTCTGGAGAGAAATACCGGATTCTCTGGATTTATTAGAATTAGACTTAAATATAATAAAGTCCTAATTATAAGGGGTAGAATTAAGTAGAGACATTGGGTGGAAACAATATTATGTGTACATATACAATAATATATCAGATATGGAGCAAGTTTGAAGTATTAAGTGAAAGTATGCAATTCTAGGACTACGATTAGGCATTATCTGACGTGTGCTTTACATATTTCAACTGTAATACCTCTAACTAAAAATGATACAGTTAAAATGATACGACATAACCTCAAAAACATATCACACAATCACTCGATACTCCCAGCTTTTAAAAATATATTTAATGTCTTTCTTTGTTCTAGTTGCATAGGCAAACAAAATAACATATGTTTCATCATGTTACGTTTTATTCGATTTTATTAGTCCAAGCATGTTAGGCAGATGGCCATTGTTCTTTATACCAATAGTGTTCATAAAGATTTTAGTAAATACTACTGTTAATAAATATACTCCGAGCACCATCAGTAGGCTGTGGGATTTTGGAATGAAAGGAGTTCTACCTTTATATGTTAATTAAGTTATAATCTTCCTAGGCAAAACATAATCTAAGTTAACAAACTTATATGAAATCCTCCATATGATTTAGCAGGATTGAAAGTCGAGGCGAAGTTAGCTTTGGTAATGCTAATCTAATCACTCCACCAGGAAGTTTTACCTATTTGAGTTTATTTCATCTCACTATTCCGCCACATTGTAATAAATCATAAAGTTGATCGTATTTAACTAGGAACAAGTATTTAACTTCATTCTTTATATTATATAGATTGTTACATTTATAATGGAGTAGTCTGAAACTGTAAAAAAGTACCAAGTGAGATGTCCTATCATGGTAACCAATCTGGTAGATGGCGCTAGTTGGGTTAGCGGATATACCAGCTATCTTTCGGTTTTTTATATATATTTGACAGATTAACTTCTTAATATTACGTTAGATTAGCTTAACATTTACCAATATTATATTAAGCCGATTGGACTTCAGTAGAAAAATAAAATTAGTTTTTGAAGTAAGAAAAAACAACAAGAGATCTGACGCCTAGAACACTTTTCTCAGGAATCACCCAAATGATTTATATTTGGTAAACTTTGAGTTCATAATGCTACATAATATTTAACTTTTGGAAAGTTCCATGGATAATTGTGTAATTTTTTTCATGAACTGAAACTCACTATTAGGAAGCATTCGTTGTTGAGTATCATCTGCCCTCCGTGCGGTGACCGGTGTTGTAGGTGGTAGTGTCGGTTGCGGGGTCGGTGGTGGGGTCGGTGGTGGGGTCGCGGTCACTTCAAACGTGTTAATGGTCGGTGTGGTCTCATCTTACAGGATCCAAATAAACAATAAAATAAAATAAAAACAAAAAAGGATTAAAATAATAACAAAAAATTAAAAGTAATCCAAAGGAATTACTAAACGGTCATCAAAAATCATAATATCTATAACTGTGCAAGTGCAAGCTAAACATAACCAAATATATGAGAAAAAATACTTTTAATTTTAGTTTACTTAAACTTGACACTTGTCAAGCATAATTGATTCTAAAACGGCTTTTTGGCTACGTAATAATAATAAAAGTAAAAAAAAATATCTAAATCTTGGGCAGCTTATGAGGAGTTTAATTTCTAATAGACACTGCGAATAACAGAGGCGGAGACTGACTGTGTAATAGTTACGTAAACAGCCAAAATTATAAGATTATATATTTAACACAAATATACGATTACCGATAAAGTCTGGTGTTCTGCCGGGGCCTGAATCGCTATCATCTATACAGTTGGTTTCATCATCGCCTTGCTCACAATCAACAATACCATCACATCGCTGTGATTCGCAGATTGTTTGTGATGTACCGATGCAAGTAACATTACGTACGCAATCTGAGGACACTTCGGATTGGCCTATGTTGTCCCAACCTGCTGATTTGGATGTGAATAAAAAAAAGGTTTATTTATCCCAACTACCTAACAACCCACTTTTTTGGGAATAACTTCAGAAGATCAAAAATAAGTCATAGCTTTTAATTTCACATTATTTGTTTACATTATTTTTCATGATCTGATGTTAAATAAATATACAAGTCAATTAAAAAATTAAATATGCTCACTGTTTCAGCAAGTAAAATTATATTTCTATATGTTCACAAATATCCATCCATTAAGTTAAGCTAACATGTAATGAAAACTTGTAGTTATAGATATTATAAATAGTACAGCTTTTTGTAATTAGATCCAACTTTAACATTCTAAAGGGGAGAAATTATATTACGAAAAAAGTCTTAAAGGAATCACGAAACAACAAAAATCATATTTAAAAAGAATATTAAAAAGGGAAATGTATTAAAGCAATAATAACAATATCAAGATGAAAATATAATATAACAAAAAATGAAAATAACACACCAAAATTAGGACAGTTCTCCTCGTCAGCTCCATCAAAACAGTCATTGAAGCCGTTGCAGCGCGAGGTTCCGTCCACACAGGTATCGTCACCGCATCTTATTTCATCCTCATTACAAGTTACGAGACCTAATTCAAACACAGTTCCCTTAGGCACGAATGTAACCAAGAATTGGCCGAGCGCCGCATCATTGTAAAGAAAAATCAAGATTTGAACCGGAAACTTTTCTGTTGTTTTGTTAAGCTATTAGGCATTTCTCGCATTGGTATACTAGTAGGCATGGCAGAAGACCCGCTAAGCTGTTGGTCCCACCTGCTACTATAAATCATTAACACAAATAGGACGGATCTAATCTCGCGTGAAGGGTTCTGGTTCGATTTTTTATCATATGAAAAGCCTACTTTGACAAGTGTATACCCAAATTCTGATAAGTGTATACCTAATAGTACGATGAAGTCGTGGACACTGCCACTGCCATCTAAATAAAGGAAACTAAGATTTTCAATTTCATTTTTGACACTTTAACCTCAGTACTAATTCGATCCATTCTCGATGTTTTTTTTGGTGCTAAGGGTACTGATTTGGTATTTTTGCAAAAGTGGGAGAATAACACATTTTTGCTGAAAATGCCAGATAGAAGCAAGAAGAAAGATAAAAAATAACGAAAGCATAATCGTACCTATTCAAAGAACTTCTACTGAAATCGAAGTGTTGTTATATTACTAACTCGACTTTACTAAAAGTTTCTTGAATGGACCAACTTTTAATTATTAATTATAAGGTAATTATTAGTTCTATCTTTTTAGAAATTATTTTGATAAAAAACACATTCTATATTTTTAGTGATACCATATTAATATACACTTTTTAAATATCATAAAATTCTAAACATATCTGAGATGGTAAAAACGACACTCATATTACGCTGACCAGTCTAATTGATGACGGTAGCTTCGCCAGCCTCATTAGATAAGTGGTTTTATTTAATTTTTAAATTTAAAATTTTGCCTTTGTCACTTATTGCTACTGCTATGAATTTGTGAGTATTTAAATATACCATCCAATCAATACAGTCATTTTATCTTTAATCTATTAAAGTCCACACTCCCGCTGTCGTTAAAACTGACTGTAGCGATTTTGTTATATTTTTATGTCATTAAATTGTAACTCTTATATAATATTTTTTATCTTCATTGTTATTGCAGTTTGTAAAATTGCCTGCCTGTAGTTACGGTGTTTGCTACGCTGTATAAACAATGGTAGACCTTAGTGTTCAAATACCTCTGAGAAGTTAGGTTTTTTTTTAAATTTTTAAAAGAATCTCCATAATGATAATATTTAAGAAAAGTACCGATATAATTTATAGAAAAACATGAGCGTGTAACTAATCACCAAAATATTTTGCCGTATTACTTTGTTTATTAATTAGTTTCTTTCGCCTATTTTTCAGGGTGGCCTAAAGACGTTATTAATGGCTTGGTAGGTAAAATTTTGATGGGTTAAAAGTATCATTCAATAAACTTATTTGATTGAATAATATTTTCAATTCATATATTTGTAATGCATGAAATAGAGATCACGACTAATTTTTGTATGTTTGTCCGTCAGGTAGAGTGTTCAAAAATATTAAACACGTATTTTCTTATTATTTCGTAATCATAAAATTACGGCGTTACATGGAGTTGAAATTTCGCATGACGTCACGTTATGGTACGCTTTCTACTAAACTGTGACGTAGCGAGCCCTTCTCCTCAACTTTAATGCCTACGTATTTAATATTTTTCTATTATCTGACCGACGGACTACATAGAATTGCATTTTTTTACCCAGTCGTCATCCCTATTGGTGATATTCAAGAGCCGAAAACTATTGTCACCGTAAGTAGGAATAGACTGAAGGTAAGATAGATAAAACTGTATCGTGTAAGCGCAATATTGTGACTTTAGAGGTGAAAGCAGGTCAAAAAATATTGCAGAGGAACTATTACAAGTGGATTTGAGATCAAAATCTAATTATAAATCATTACATAATTTCATCAGTTTGGAGAGCCCTTGTGTGACAGATCTATACACCCACAAGGAGATCGGTGACTGAAGAGCAGGAGATCGTATTCCAGGGGTTATCTTGTTAGTATAGATTTCCAGATATCATCGCTCGCCATAACGGCATTTTCATACGTCGCCGTACGTTAAAAATTTAAATGTACCTACAAGTACATCTCGACATTTAACCCATTATAAAAAAATATATTAGCACAAGTGCGACGCACTAACCAGGGTCGATTACGTGCGCGCTGAAGTCTGCGTCACTGACTTCTATTGAACCCAACTTCCTTCTGTTCCTGATGTGATCCTGAAGAACTTGAGTGATCCTGTCAGTGTTGTCGTATCCGGCCGTCACTATGTCCAAAGTCACTTTGCATGAAAATTCGTTGGAAACGCGTGACCTGTAAAGAGATAATCAAATAAAAATTTTGGTTAATTTAAGTTTGTTAAACTTAAAATTTTAACTATTTATTCAGTTAAAAGTGTGGTATTAGCACCTAAAGGACTCATGCAAATAGTAGCTACTTTTCATTCAGCATTAAGTCAGCGAACGCATACGTGCACAGCTTACGCCCCGTTTTTGTGCGAAATGTGTATCAAAGATACACTGAACTGGTGAATTTTGTATTTGTCAAAATAAAATTGGGCTGACGTTTGTAATAGGACCACGGAAGCTACCCTAGCAATGCCTCGAGAACTATATGGCAAAGTGTGCCCAAAATTTTTTTTTATGCAAGAAAGAATGTACCTTCAAGACGTTAATATTACTGCATTGAGATGGTCAGCACGAAACCTCGATATTAAAAACCATGAACACCTGTGGGACGAGCTAAAGCTATATATAATAATGCACCAGCCATCAGTAGACTGATGAATCTATGCCAAACCGAATAGCATTTAAACGACGAACGTGCAATACAACTTTCTAAATTAAATGATTTCTTTTAATAGTTTTGACTGACTATTTTCTCCCGTTATCAAAATTAAATTTAGAATTATGTAAAATAAAAAATGAGGGTACCCGATTTTGATGAAATTAATTCGAAATAACACATCGTCGTTACGAACGTTTATGATTCTATTCTAATTATGTCAAATCGGGTGATTATATTAACCTATTCCCATATACAATAAGAACTGGCCAAGTGTAATCGCGCACGTACGGTTCCGTGTCGGAAACGAGCAAAAAAAATCACGTTTATTGTATGGAAGCCCCATTAAATAAATATTTTTTTCTAGTTTTTATTATCTTTGAAAATTTCAACTAACTTTCGCGGTTCATGAGAGAGTTCAAATTCATACAGCCTGACAGATATGAGTAACTGGCCGACAGACAGTGAAGTCTTAGAAATGGGGAGCTCGCCTTTGAGTACGGAACTCTAAAAATGAGAATGACACTTTCTTGATTGAACAAATTGAACTTCGTAAAATCATTTAGATTGTTTAATAGACCTTTTCATATCTATCTTCAAAAAGCAAAATCTGTCTCAAAGGTATAAAGTGATCATTTTGCAATCACAAATAAACGTTATATGCAGGCTAAATACGTATGCCAATGACACTACCGCTACCATTTCCTGGTTACCTTAACAACAAGCTAAATTTTACGAAACAACTTACTGTATTCTGACTAAGCTTGCGCGTTGCGTTCCCGGTAGCCGTTCATAGAGTAAATTGACGGCATCTGCCAACGAACGCGAGAAATTCTGGAATTCGGTCGAGTCCCTGTTGGAGAACTCGTTCTGGTATGGTTCCATTACCACGAACGTCACTCGGAGAGTCTCTGGAAACGTTTTGTACGAATTTAGGGGTATTGAAAAAATTATCTTTATTAAATTTAGAAATACTTGTATTACTGTTTTCAATATCAAATTAGATAACAGAAAAACATTCTTAAAAAATCCACTTTATCCTTGTCACTTTGTTTGGGTGGATAGCCTGAACATTGATGAAAATACACTCTGTAGCAACTGCTAGGGATAAAGTGGATTTTTTATGCATTTCTCATTAAGAAACTTTTATGGTATGGCGTTTTGAATGCAAGATTGATCAAATACCAGTATAATAATTAGAATGGTATGTTCGTAATTGTAAAAGTATGGGTAGATTTTCTGAACATTGATGAAAATACGCTCTGTAGTAGAGACAAAATAACAGGTGCTCGAAGAATTCGCCAGTCCTGTTAGGTCCTTAGCAGCTCTAGTAATGGGTCCGATTATTGTGGGTAGAGGAGGGCCGAATCTTCTGCGATGCCTAATCCCTGCTGCCAATATTTTGGCTAAAGTCGGAAGGGTGTGGGACGGACGACCGGAGCAGCTAACCGTAGACTGATTTCCTTGGAGGGTTACGTTTTCCAGGTGCGCCTGTGTCGCGGTTAGTAAGAGGAGTGCGGGGAGTCGACCTGCATAGGCAGGTGAAGAGGACTTCCTCTGTGGCCTTGTTCTTGGATGCTGGGTTCGGTCGCCACACACTCACGGTGTGTACGACCGTAGACACCGTAGGTGAGTAAGCCCGGGGGTGCCATGACTGTGGCCGCGCAGAGAGTAGCAGCGGAGCTGGTAATGGTTTCAGGGCTATGGTCGGGCTAGATGCCGGTTAAGTCGTGGTTAAACGGGGGGAGTAATCGGCGAAGTATGGCCTGACAGAGCATTCCTCGAAGGCGGCCTGTGAGGGTCCTTCCATTTGATAGCTCAGTGGTTAGAGCGGTCGCCCGGATTGCAAAAGGTCATGAGTTCGAGTACCATCTCTGAGGGGACAAGTGGATTTTTTTTAAGCCTTTTTCACTAAAAATGTTTTTGGTATATAATTGTGAATGCAAGATAGACCAAATATAATAAAATTGAGCTTACTTTCACCAAGCTCTGGCTCGACTCGATCCGGCTGACCTGATCCATTTTCTAGGTCTTCATCTCTTTCCTCTCTGAAATAAAAATAATAATAGATTAGCTGAAATACTAAATATAATCACAACATATTATGAAATGTAGTCTACAATAACTACTGCATAGATTTTCATGCGGTTTTTACGTACAGCTACAGTGAATGACGAGGAAGGTTTAATTATAATTATTTCTGTTTTTGTGTAACTGGAACTTAAGCCTCCTGGACACTTTCGTAGAAGACTCTACCTAATACATAGTAGATATAATATAAAAATGCATAGTATTCCTTTTTTATTGATCTAAAAAGTTTACAGCGGTGCATCAACTTTAGTTGCTTTGGTTTGAAATGTCAAGTACATTATTATTATACCACTTTATCATATAAATGAATATCTAATACTCCTATGTATAGTCGATAGAAGTAATTACTTGAAAAAATTACATAACTTAAGAAGATATTATAAACCGATAGACGACAATTTGAATGAAATAAGAACTATTAACTGCTAATGAAAATATTATTCTTACTTGATGCAGGTGTAAGAAATTATCGCAAAAATTAACACAACTTTTTATTCAGAACTTTTTATTTTGAAATGATACGATTAAAAAATGTTTAAGATTTACAATATAAGCTTTCGCATATTACATGATTTTGCATGTTTTAAATTTATAAGTCACTCCTGAGGCACGGCACGACCTTTTTTGGTTCAACAACTTCCATAATGTGTACCAGATTTCAACTGAATCAGTCCAATAGTTTTGGATAAAATTATTATTGATGATTACAGGGACAACCGAGGAAATATGTGAGGCTTATTTTTGTTTAAATGAGGAACTATAATTATACATAATTTTAAATTTTAATCAACTTGGTTTACATTAACCGATATTTAGTTCTTTTAATATATCTTTTAAATACTTTAAAGTGCCTAAGTGTTGCAAAACACACCTTTTTTAAATTTGTTTTCCCGCGACTTTACCAACGTAAATTAAAGCCAATGTTTTTTAAAATCGGTCCGGTAGAAGAAGAAGATTGATTTATCTATATTACTATTATAAAGAAGAAAGATTTCATTGTTTGTTCGAATAATTTAGCTTTATTGGACCGATTTTCAAAATTACGTACTTCAGCAACAAAGGCTATAATTTACGCGGACGAAGCCATTAATTTTTTTCTTCCTATTGGTTATAATTTCATTTGTATTGAATAAACTCAAAAACTAATGGACCAATTTTATTAATTCTTTCACTAATATAAAACTGTATTTATCAGAAAGTAACAAAGACTGCAAATATTAAATAATATTAACTGAATGTATTTGCAGAAGTACTCAAAGGCGGTTTTTCAATTTTATGTTTAAACTTTAATATCAATTTTGATGTTTATTGAAATATTGATTTTAATGTGTAATTAACAACTATTCTTATGATGATAAAATCCACTGTAATATACGTAGTGTAATCAGCAGTTGTGATTCGAGCATGGTAAGGTGCTTATAAGTAGGTACTACAGTCCTATTAGTATACAGTACTACAGTACTGAATTCTTATTCTAGTAATACGACACCTAAAGATCTATTTTCGACATGCTAATGCAAAGAAACTCATATTTCGATAATTTATGACGCAATTGAGGTAGGACCTGACACTGTCTCTGATGTACAATCTTTACAGGTATGATTTTAACAAAATATTAATGCGTTAAGTAATACTAAATATCGCAGATGGTTGTGCACTTTTAAAAGAATCGGGGATAGGTACTTACAGTTCCTCTACGTAATCATCAGGATCGTTTGTGGAGGTTTCTGGTTCTGGTGTCTCCGAAGTAGTACTCGATGTGGTGAATGGTGCTGAAAACGTGTACAATATACTAGTCAGTTTGGATTAAATGAGACAAATATAAGTGTTAGAACTAAGAGTAACGGAACGGACGGAATGCCCTGTCATCGAGATATACTAGATAATCATTTCCTACAATATGGTTAAGCGAAGCGATGGCTGGCTCATGCGTCATGCTTATCAAGGAGGCTGTTAGTGAAGGTGAGTTTGCTTACTCTTGTAAAAATTTATCAAATTCAGTTTTCGTTTCAATTACTGCTCTATGATATATGATGTAATTTTCTTGTTATAGATAACATTATATTTGGAGTTAAGATAATAATCAATTTGATATTAGTGATTTAGGTTTCAAACTATGCGTTAGATTTATAGCTTCGTCAGTCTTGAAGAAACTTCAGAATAATTAAACAATATTTTTCACTGGCAGAAGTTGTTACCATATTTTTTCTTGATTTAAGGCAACAAATAAATAACGATATGAAATGGAAATGTGGCAAACAGATATCAAAATAATTTATATAGCTTAAGACATCAAATATTTTGTTATATGATTATGGTGCTAGTGCTTTACAATTTTAAAAGAGAAATTGTAAAAAAACATATGAATAGGATACTCACATAAGAAATCGAAGAATCCTTGAATATGTCGCTTGATGCGACCACTGATGCCGACGTCTTCAGGCTTTACCTCCAGGAACTCGTCGGAGGCATCTTCCTCACCTTCCCAGTACAAGTCTTCACCATTAGTGGACTGGAAATTCATAAACACCTTTCAATCGAATGTACATTTGGCTACATGGCTCTTATATCAAAGTTCTTTTTTTTAATCGATCCGCTGAAATATGTCATTCATATTTTACTATTCAACAAATTGTACGACAGACGTTACTTTTTATGTGTCAATTTATAAAAAAAATAGTGTGTTTATACAAACTGATTGGTGAATTTAAAAAAGAAATTGATATAGTATTTTTAAAAGACCTAACTTCGTTTCTATATTTTTAAAAAAATCGCGGTTTTTTAATGTATACCCCTTATATCTTAAATTTTGATTATTAGGAGTTGGGTTAAAATTAAACATAATTCTATAGGAAGTTATTATTTGGAACACATTCTAGTCTTATAGGTTCTAAATTTTACCATTTTAGTTATATATATTGTTTATTATAAAACATAACTTTACACCTTCGTTAAGGAATAAATAGATCAAGATAAATTAATATTAAAATCAAGTAAATTCGCAGTATGTAATGGGCCCACGATTCCACAATCATTGGTTTACGTAATGTTATACTCGTTCCAGAACAACAGAGACATAAAAGTAACGTAACGATCGTCGGGGACGAGTTAAGTTGAAATGTTAAAAGGTCTCGTCTGTTGTAAAGACCTCTTGTATATACCTAAAGTATCCGAGACCTCGAATTCGGGTCGGATTATGTGTGTGGGTGGGGATACTAAGTAATGGGTGTTTAGTGATTGGCCAAAGGCGCCCACCTCGCCACGCCCTCCACGATCTCAGTTTGGCAGCTCGATACAAGGTCGCGAGGCGTGAAAGCTTTTCTTTAATTCTTCGTATTATTGAATCGGCTCGAATTCACGCCATTCTGAATTTCGTATAAACAATCGATCGTGTATTTCAAACGAAGATCCACCCTATCATTTGACGTCGGTATTTAAATTAAGTTTAACAAGTTTAAATGAAATGTCGTAAGTAATTAGAAAGTAAAAGCAATCATAATTAAACAAACGCATATATATAATGACGGTTACGAGTCCATATTTCATAGAATATCTGCCCTATCTTTAGTTGGACAGTACCTAGTCATTACAAGATTAGGTTAGACGGCATCACATTATCACATGTCATAAATTCTTCAATTTCACAACGTGCTTGTGGTTTAAAGCTGTTCCGTATTTCTTAATATTTTTTCCTATCTTGATTTTTTTTTTATTTTATCATGACATAATCTTTAAGATTTGCAAATATTTATTTTTTATAAAAAAATCTATTAGTATTTATGTTACAAACCATGGTTATCTAATAAATTTCTGCAGAAACTACGCAAAGTAATTTTTTTTATAGTAAATTGTACTATAGTGTACGCGGCTACATCAATTTGTAACACAACCCCAACGATGACCGGACACGGAAGCGGCAAAGTTGTCATTAACTGCCAACAGAGGTCATGATTCGCAAATAAATCGACGCTCAAACGGCAATTAGGGGGGCCACTTGGCGGGATTTCTTTGCAATTTTAGTTAGTCCTACATGATCCGCCGGCGGGTGTGGACGACGAGCCGCGCAAGCTAATGGCACTCAAACGTTTACTGGTATAACACTCCACTACTCAACGTTATAGACACAGACGACACAGTGTTGCTGTGGTGATATGATAATAAATTATTACTTATCATAGGCATATTTTAATAATGAAATGCTTTAAAATTGTTTATGTAGTAGTCCAAGGGTTCTTAATAAAAGTAACGAAAGCTAAGAATATGACGTTTAAAATTTTTGTCTGTCTGTCTATCTGTTGATCGCCTTTCACACAAACAGTCCGTCCAGTAGGACGAATTTTGATGAAACTTTTTTGTTGTATAGATTGGTATTAGTCGTTAGCAACATATAGGCTATAAATTATTTTGAAGATCGGAATATCTGATGTAGAAACCTTGCAATCCAATTTAACCATACGAGATGTAAATACAACATCTTAGGAAAAGTTATATATTACGATGAACGTTTTCTATTAACGTATAAAAAATCTTAGTTCTGGAGAAACTACTGTAAAACACTAGCAATTGAACTAAACCTTAAGAGATATTGACATATAAAGATCAAGATCTGGAACAACTGCTGTTATATTGTAGTACCTTTGTACTTAATATTGTAGTACCTATCTGCGTATTTGCCATACCTGGAGGTTTTTTTTTTGTAAATAAATCCTAGCTAGATTGATCGCTCCTGAAACCTCCTGCAAATTAAATTTCAGGAAAATCGTTGAAGACGTTTTTCGAGATTCAGATAATATATATACAAGAATTGTTCGTTCAAAGGTATAGTAAACTCTATCAAATACTAAACATTGTTTGCGTCTTATATTATAATAACTACTTTAGTTTAATTTAAAAAAATCTGGCAATGCTCTCAAAAATATAAAAAAACTTCAAAAATAACCCCAATAATGTTAGAAATATATTTGATACCTTTTTAACTTCCAATTGCAATAGTAAATTACTATAATTTGACCTAACCCATATATAATATAGTTTACAATTAAAAAGGAAGATTGTATTCTGAAAATGTATACAATTTTAAGTTGATTTAAACGTTCGCTTACAAAACTGTGTCGACACAGAGACAGCTGGAAAACCAACTCTCAAGATGTAGCGTGTATACGTTGACAAATTGCTGATTTATTGTCAGTACGAGTTTAGAAAACTTCACTAACCAAAGTCTTCGTTCATAGGCCAAACAGTAACCCTTACAATAAAGGAGGTGTCTTTTTAACACAATTATTCTTTACTTTTGTTACATACTTTTATTTATTTACTATTGTTTTGTTAGTATCGGTAAAACCTCGTAATTCAAACACCCACTTTTCCCGTTTGCCGGTAGACTATCATAATGCAATAAAAAAAAATAAGTAAAGATAAATTTGAGAAGCATTAAATCAATCCATATTTTTTTTTGTTTATATTTTGAGGTGGATGTGTATTGTTTTTAGTATATAATTATATTGTTTTTATTATAGGAGAATAATTCTCACGAGACCATTGCACTTGAATTGTATACTATTGAAGGTTTCCCAGACTTATCGACCACTAGACTACCCGGCAGTTAAATAATAATAACTCATAATTTTCAAGTCAACTACTTGATACAGTTGGACATGTTACATTCTGTTGATATATCTAATTGGGAACGACGCTCGCAGTATCATAAATCTGTTTACACACCACTGAAAGCGTGTACTTGCACCGTCTATTGAAATTATGATATTGACATAATTTACACAATGAATCGTATATGAAAATAAAAATAAATAAACGCTAATACGCTAATAACTTGTCGGGGAGACTGAGTGAAAACCGTATAGCTAAGGATATACCTATATAAATTGTAAATTGTAAATAAATAAAAGTTATGTTATCAACACGTTTATTAAAGACCTTCGTTGACTACAGGAATTAACAAAAAACAATACTTTTACCATCTCGATAACAAAAAAAAAATCAACAAAAATGAATTCCTATTTTACCTCGTGGTGAGGACAAAACCGTGTACTATATACGATATTGCCCCAAAATTAACGTGATGCTGCGCAACCAAAACATTCGAAACTACATATTTAAGTCATCTTCAACCCAGCTAGTACAGCCTTCGTGTACAAAAACATAAATAATTAATTAGCATGGTATCAAAATGGGTCAGAACAGTGTACTATCCGGTTTTACCCAGTACGGTTTTGACCAATAGAACATAACCAATACATTCACCATCTACTTCTTCATAAAATCACATTCGTTGTTAATACATTGTACATGATTAATGAAACATACACAGTTTAACGTCTTTTTTGATGTAATTACTTATATACCATAATATGTCCTCTAATCAAACTTGTATCCCTTAAAAATAAGATGAAAATACCTAAAATCATTTTTTTCTTTATAACTTGTTAACGCTCGCGCCGGTGGCGACAAGTGCCTGTTGATAGATTAATCCTATTGGCTTCATAATTTTAAATAATGACGGACACAGCTACTCTATAGGGTTTGACCTCGGTGTACGGTTTTGTACGGGTATCCCCTATCTACATATATCACTTGGTTTATTATCGATAAAAGAATATGTTCAAATATTAACATCTTTATTAATGAAATCAAGAACCATAAAAGGTTGTTGTAGTCCTAGCAGAAAAATCAAGGGTTCAAATTCAGATCCAAATAGCTGAGTTGTTTATGAAACATCTACTAAAACTATAAACTTGACCTTCAACCACGACGCCCAACAGCGATTTGTTAACGATATCATTATTTTTAGATTTTATGGCGTCTCCCTCGTGACTTACGTTGAATAGTATAAAAAAGTCGTATTGTATGAGTATAAACACAAAAAGCTGAATTTGAAATATGTATCATTTGATGGTTAAAATGTACATGCAGTGAATAAGCCTGTTGTGTAATGTTACATCATCGTCAAATAACAAAACCAAATACGAGAGTATGGAGCTAATAAAATGCCTACACATAATTATCGATAGTTAGCACTACTCGATGGTAAGAGTTATTTTAAACCTTAACACGAAGCAATGCAGTCTAAAAATTATCACATGCAGTCTGCTAAATTATACACAGAAAAAAAATAGATTAGAATGTGTCAGTTTTGAATGAAATACATAATATAACTTTATTCGGTAATCACACTGTGATCTAAGAGTATTCAATTAACTAGCACCAAACAAGGTTGGCAACACTGGCAAGGACATTGGTTTCCTTGGTATTAGAAGGCAGTGTTGCCAGACGCACTGTAATTAGAGTACATCTACTGTATTATTGCGCCATTTACAGTTCACTGTATTAAGAAAATTACAGTCATCATCATCATCATCATCATCAGCCGGAAGACGTCCACTGCTGAACATAGGCCTCCCCCTTTGAACTCCACGACGAAAATTACAGTGTAAATGGAAAATTATGAACGCAACAAACTTCTGATTCCTTGTTACCTAGAACCCAGGGGATGACTTGTGCTTTGTA